CCTCAGTGAATTGAGTGCTCTATTTTCTCCGTCCTGTACAAAACGTACAAATATAGTGGAATTTGTGTCTATAATAACAAATAGGAACTTAAAAATTTGAATTGATATTCACATGTTAATGCCGACTCTTCAAATGTTGAGGTGATTTTGGAGCCCGATTATGTTGCAAGGGAGGATAGGCTCCCAGAATGCAACATGACACCTGCCAGCTTTCAAAATGCCGCTCCGCCATTTTGAAACCTGTCACGAGTAAATAAGGTTAACTGATGTTGCATTCTGGGAGTCAATCCTCCTTGGATCACAAACATGGCGATCCATGAAAACATTTGTTCGATTTGGTAGGAATTTATCTATCATTTGCAGGTATGAAGCTTTAGATTCATTTATTGCTACTTTGAGTGAACAGGAATTATTTTTCTGCTGCTTGGGAGAGTTAGAGACATGAAACTTAGATTTTAACTCGTTGTGACAACTTTTGATGGTTGAGGTTTATTAATGTCTCCGACTGTATGGAGGCATGTGTGTATTTCCTTGCTTTTTTCAGGAAAGTATTATTACATTGTCTACTTTTAGGAAACTTGGAAATAGGTCAATGGTAGCTCATGTGTTGTCTGGAAACTTTGAAAGAAAATTTGGAAAAATAGAAAGTGTGAAATATCAGAATTTCCTGGAGTTCCCATTGACCTCTTACCAGATATACTAAAAGAACACAATGTAATGATACTTTCCTGAAAAAAATCAAGGAAATTAACACATGCCTTTATACTTTATTTTGTACCAGAAAATAACATATGCAGGTATAGCAATTTTTTACCAAAATGTTATTTTCCAGATGTACCTTAAAATTACGCACTTATGGCAAAATGATGATGGGGGTTAGACCTAGCCGGGGCCCTAAGACATATCAGTGAAGAAACGAGGCCAAGGCTAGGTCTTATGTTGTTGGACTAGATCTAAAGTGGGGGACAAAACTAAACCTCAACCATCAAAAGTTGTAACAATGAGCTAAATTCTAAGTTTCGTGTCTCAAACTCTTCCAAGTGGTACAAATATAATTCCCGTTCACTTTAAGTAGCACAATAAATGAATCCAAAGCTTCATACCTGCAAATAATGGACAAATCCCTACCAAATCGAACTAATGTTTTTATGAATCACCTTGTTTGTGATCCAAGGAGGATTGACTCCCACAATGCAACATCAGTTAACCTTATTTACTCGTGACAGGTTTCAAAATAGCGGAGCAGCACTTTGAAAGCTGGCACATGTCATGTTGCATTCTGAGAGCCTATCCTCCCTTGCAGCGTAATCGGGCTCCAAAATCACCTCAACATTTGAAGAGTCTGCATTAACATGTGAATATCAATTCAAATTTTTAAGTTCCTATTTGTTATTATAGACACAAATTCCACTATAAAAAACCATAGAAGAAATTTGGGAATCATTTTACCTTTCCCAAGCTATTAGTGCAATGTTTGGCCTAATGTCTTATTCGCCATACCTATTTTCTTAAAATGTGTGCACTTGCCGACGAATACCACCAATCAGACTTGCAAATAGACTTCTAAATAGGCAATGGAAAGGATGGACGTCCCGCATTTTGTTTTTTGAAACATTTCTGAATCTCCGCCATTTATAATTCTTACTGCAGTTGAGATTAGGTAAGACCGCACGTAAGCATGTTTACAGTATAACCGCGGTTGCCTGATATAACAGTATGCATGGTACGAGATATGACCGCGTTGATGGTCTATTACCAGCGACTCTTGCAGTTGGCCTGGTCAACTGATGAAGAAAAATCCCCAAAAAATCGAAAACTTAAAACACATCAAATCTGCCCATATTCAAGGTCTTCATTCTTGAAGAATGTTGGATAGAACGTTAGGTGAAAACGGGGATGGAATCCATTGAAAAGGTACATGAGCATTTTTCTGTGAATGTCAGGAGAAGATTCCTGGGGATTTAGAATGCCAGTTATTGTGAATATCGGCAGAAATTAGGTACGTTCGGGGGTTTTCTTTGTAGCTTATGAAAATAGATGTTAGCCTTGATGAAATATCCAAACTTCGATATATTTTGACACCAGGTCCATGATCGTTGGATACGTCGTTGCACTATTTATTCTAGTTCAACAAGTAAACCTAGTCTGGGCTTTATTTCTTATCTGACATTTCTTGTGGCCCGCCCTAGGTTTAACATCCGTGCCTATTCGGCCCTTGATGCAAACATTTTTAATGATGGCCTATGGCAGCGCATAGGATTCTATGCGCGTTCTATTAATAACTGATAGTGAGAATTTGCAACCAATGAAAGCATAGCACGGAAGTTAAACCCAACCACGGCAACAAGAACAATCAGATTATAAATGAAAGCCGTGGTATTGGGTTTAACTTGTTGAACTATATTTATTCAACCTTTAGAGTCCATTTCACTGCTTCATTTCATCAGTAGAACGGCAAAAATAAGAAATTGGGAGACCATTGTGCAATAATATATGGAAAAGTATATTCATAATGTACATGAATGACATTTGTATATTTCAGATTTTTTAGTTTTTTGTGCAATAAGCCTGTGCCGTCTTGTAATTTGAAGAATTTCAGCCATGTTAATCTTATTGAAAATAACATGGCAGAGAAACATCCAAATATAAGAGGCCACACACTTTATAAGCAAAACTAGAAGCAATCCAAGATGTACAAATGTCATTCATGTACATTATGAATATACTTTTCCATATATTATTGCACAATGGTCTCCCAATTTCTTATATTTGCCGTTCTACTGACGAAATGAAGCAGTGAAATGGACTCTAGTCTAGTTCTTATTTGTCATTATAACAAACAAACAAATAGACGGTGAACACCGCCTCTAATGCGTTGGATTGTCGTAAGGACTTGCATTAGAGGCGGTGTTTATCCTTGTAAATTCATGCCAATCTAAGTTTTTCTTGATTATTTTTGACGGTTCACTTTATTTTAATCTTCTGCTTAGAATCTCTGCGTCATTTACAGAGAAATATAAACAAAATGGATACATTGATGATTTATACAAAAAATTACAATAGCTTTGTGGTTGTAGAAGGTTGAATTGTGCTAATTTTGTAGCAAAATCGCCGTTTGTCGCTACTGTTCATAAAATCTTTATGGCGGCTTCTATTCTCACGAGATTTGACGAGAGTAGCCATTGAATATTGCTGCCACCTATTTAACTATACAGAGTTTATATCATTCATTCGACCATCATGTATTCGATGGAAGAAATCAACGATCTCTATTCGCATAACATAAAACCAAAGTTTGGATTTGATTTGAAGCCAGAACAGTTACAAGACGTGATAACAAACATATTGAATCAAGAATCCACTATAGCAGTTTTACCAACTGGTTATTGGAAAACATTACAACACGTGATCATCAAATTACGTCACGTGATCATCACACTGATTTATGCAACGCATGCGCACTTGAAATTAGGTCAGTGAAAATGTCAAGAAGACCGGTCAGAAATGCAATTTCGTCTTATCTGCAACGATTACACATAATTACTGTAATAAAGCGAGGCATTTATGGGTTCATTTTGAAGATTTTTGGTCCCGCTATCCAGTGGTGAAAGAATTTTCAAGATTGAGGTAAGATCTTGGGAGAAAAGTCAAAAACATCAGATCCGGACTTTTCAGCATTTCTTAAATTTGATAAATTTACATTGCACGTTATGCACCCCTGGGGCCAACACGATCCTCAGAGACGCAGATGGTGCATGAATGCACCTAACAAACAAACAGACACAAATTCCACAATATTTGGACTTGAGAAAATAGAGCACTGAATACACGGTCGCGAGTAAATCTCAGGCACGACATGGAAATCTGAAATTATAGAGGGCGCAAATCCAAGTGCACTTGTACCGGAAGTCTGTCTTAATATGGCGGGACTACACAAATTCGACCTACTTTTGTACCACGTGATGTATTTTAGCCAATAGCCGAGGGGCTGCTAGATGTCTGTCAAGTTATAGTATTTATGTCTCAAATAAAAATGCATTATATCTCATCTTATATTGGACTTTTAAGTTACATTATTGAACCCATTAACAGCACACTAAGTGATTTTTCCCGATCCAAAAATTTCTTCTGAGCCCTTGGTGTTCTTAATTCTAAGTGATTAATCTTGATCCTAGGTGATTGTTATTGATCTTAAGTGATAATGTTTTTGATCCTTAGAAATATCCTCATGATCTTGATCTTTGGTATCTGTCTTGATCCTTAGGGATTGGGTCGATCCTAAACAATTTTACAGGTGATTGTTCTTAATCTTAAGTGATTGTTTTTATTACTTTAAATTTTTCTTGACTCTTCTGGGCAATTGTTTGGTTGTGATTCTTAATATTTTGTTTTGATACTGTGATTGTACTCAATTGTTCTAATCTTAGTTGATTGTCCCTGGTTTAGGTGATTGTTCCTGATCATAAGTGATTTACCTTGATCCTTGATAATTTTTCTTTACTAAGCTCGGTCAGTACGTGGTTGATTGTTTTAGAGCATATTAATTGGTCCCTATGTGATTTGTGATCGTGCTGGTCAAATGTGGTTGTACAATGTACAATAGACTATAATATACTAGTATTGTCCAAAATTTCCCGGGAAATCTCATTTCATTTCGCCGTGTGTAAAATGAATATGCGCCCTCTATAATTTCAGATTTCCATGTCGTGCCTGAGGTTTACTCGCGACCCTGAATACACTGAGGTAAGAATTTTTTACATGTGCGACAGCATGTAATTTTCATAGCTATAGCAATTCTTTATGTCCCCCACTCACTGTAGGCTAATGAGCTGTCAGAAACTCAACCTCAAGTCAAAACTCCCAAAATTTTAAAATTGTGAAGTCAGAAGAAAAGCTCATCTTGGGTTACACAAGATACCACCTTGCGTCTTTAATGTGTGTGTTGCATGTAGTAAGACACGACGATTAGTAATATCGGGGTATAACTAAACAATACAGACCTGGTGCACCAGTTTTTGGACTCTCTGGAAATTTTCTATTTCTCAAATCCGCCATATTTGCTTTCAAATGACGTATTCCCGTCATGCACGAGAAAGTGACGTAATTAATCGCTCTATTTTTGACCTATAAATTACTCCGCTAAAATATGTTATATGGATATTGTGGGATGAAGAAGAATAAATGAACAAAACATATAATTTTAAATACTTTCATGACAGTTTACATATTTTAATTTTCATGAAATCACTGTAATTTGTGCTATTATAAGAAAACATAATTTAGAACTATTTGTAGCAAGGTGCGCGGCGGAAGGACTTTACGCTTAATTGGATGTAAAATTGCTTGCGAGTAAATACGTATAGCAACTTTCCTATATTGGCGATGAGAAGAGGTGAAAATTGTCCAAATTCAATCGTTGCATAGAGCACCTAAATCATCTCAGTTGACACCAAAGGTAAGGGAATGCACAATTTCAATATCTATAGCATCACCAGGCATAATTTTTGGCAGCAGTGCATCGTGCATTGACATGATTTGGAGCTATTAAAAACATATCGTTTAGAAAAATGGTGGAAATTTCACCAGTCAGTATGTCAGTGCACTCGTATAACAAGTCAAGGTTATGGGTTGGCCTCAATCCACAGGCCACAAAAATCAGCTGTGTTCGGGCGTTCTAAGATAACAAAACGTATGCTATGTTTATGTGCCTAATACGTTTAGATAGTTAATTATCATCAAATACATGCATTATGAGTCATGACTCATTTTCAGGGTTGGCAAGTGATGTCCAAATGGACCATCATCAGCTGAGAGTTTGCCTAAAAGTTGAAGTGGTTTTACTCAACTTCATTGGAGACATATGTATGTTTCACTCATATTGGCGACAAGAACTGATTAAGATTGATGAAATAGAAGGTTTTGTTGTGATTTGATTGTTTATATTTTGTTGTCAAAACTATAGTTGGTCAAGATTCAGGATGTTGATTTCCCTCAACAAATGTACTGGATGACCTAACCCACTCTACTCTTACATCCTTCTATTACATTGTTATTTCATTAACATATATAAGTCTTCAACTTTTGCCAAATATACACTAGTTTTATTTGATCAATTGAAATAATACCTGTTGATGAAAGAACTGCACTTCCACCAACTCTTACTAGATAAAGGATGTGCAGAACAGCATACAAATACTAACCACATGCATGTTGAGTCGCTGCTCTGAGATCATATACTGTACAATGATATTGTTCTCAACGACCCTGAACAAGACAGTAATTTATCTTAGTCAGAACATACTTAAAGTAAGTACTGATACATAAATGAAAAATATTACATTACGTCAAGAGGTTAACATAGCAGAAATATGGCAAACTCAAAAGACTAAGGACAAACACCACAGTTAGATATATATATGTTATAGCTGATCAAGATATAGAAATAAAGGTATTGTATGTATGTCATAGTTTTGAAAATGTATTATAATTGAATTTCAACTTTTAAAAGTACAAGACTTTCATCAAATATGGAATCATTGGTTATGTGAGATGTAGAAATGTCCAAATTCATTACAATTGCAGAAGGGGTGTCTTACTTGAAAATAGTTGCTTTCTGCTCATTCTCCGTTGAGCATGACTTGAGGTGTCAAAATATTAATTTTTCAACCTCAACCAAAATACTAGCTCTACTTAGTTTATGAATGGCTATGGTCTGTGGATGAAAAATGCATGTGTTTCACCAGCCTTGTAGCAAAATTGGAGAAGTTACATGCATTGTTTAAACAGCATACTTAACACATATTTAATTTACAAACCTAATTTATGGGACACCTCTAAATGCTAAAATGACAAATATTGTATATCACATACTTATTTTTTTGGTTGCATATCGATCTCATGGTCCTAACAAGTAAATTGATTTAAAATTCGAAGCTAATTTTTGTATTGTCAAAAAGTGTGTGTCCCGTAAATTAATTTAGGACTGCAATGAATTATAACAAAAGAAATATGAAACCATGATCGGGAATATAGCTGGTTTTAAGAAGAGACCCAACGTGCCTAAATATCTGTTGTATTAGATTTGTCATTATATGTTTGCTCATTCTTTTTAACCTTTAGCGTGCTGCCGGCGGACTCGTCCGCCGAGACTAAAATGTCTCTCACAACTGCCGGCGGACCCGTACGCCCGATTTCAAACTTTTAAAAACTTTACTTTTTCGCGCCATTCGTATTGTCCAATTAGATTGCCCGATTTATTCAGTGCCTAACATGACTTCCTGTTGACCTAGAAATGCGATATTTCGAAAAATAATTCTCAATTCAACAATTTAAACAGTGTTTAAGTCGTTTTTAGTGAACGAATCGTACAAAATGGTGGACAAATACGATCACAACGAAAATGTGGAGGAAATGGATTACGATTTCGAGCTCTTTAGGCTCTTGGAAGCCGATAACGGTCATCGAAAATAGAAGCTAGAATATTTTCTGAATTGAAAAATTGAACATTTGATCGCTGCAAATTCAGATTTGGATTCTGACCAGACGAAGAGGCGGAGCGGCGGATTCCGGAGGAGTATTCATGGTATATTTATGCCCAGTCGTGTTAATGTACGAAAAAATTCATGAGAACATTTTTTTCATGAGCCAGGCCACTGTGTCTTCCCTTTGTGAAAATTTTATCCAGATTCATTCAGTAGAGGTTATTGAGATATTAATTATTTAGTCCAGGCATATCATTTTTTGCACTCTTTGAAAAATAAGCCAGTTGCGTGGGATATATTTGCTGAAATAAGGCAGCATGGTAAAGGTTAAATGACAGTCCTGTAAATTAGGGGCAGAATTTCCATTCTAGAATCCAGAAGTTGGACTAGAATTTCTGATTACACAGACCTTATATCTGACATAAAAAGGCTTGTTTGTTGGATCAGGTATCAATATGTGATTAGTTTGCGATCAATAACTTGTTGATAAGAAGCTTACATACGAGATCAGGTAGAAGTGGCATAGTCTAACTCGTAAATTAGGTACAACTGAGTGACAGAATTCAAAGTTAAATTTCTGAAAGACTAAAACATGGATCGTGAGGTAAGATATTTTTGGCTCACACAGTGAGCCTATGGGGTTGACCAGGCGTCCGTCCGTTCGTCAACATTGGCCGCACAAATTAAAACTGCTATTCGGATTGAGTCATATCCTCATTCATTTTATGCATATCCATAATGCCTATTTGACCTATCATCGCCATTTCCCAAGTTCGCCTGGTTTCCGAGAAATTGCGGATTTTGACATCAAAAAGTCAAATTTCTGTAAATACTAGACACTTTGTTGAAGTAGAACTTTCAAATAACTTTTAGTAGTTGGTGTATATGCAACTTATGTCTTCTGAAGATTTCAAAGCTCTTGGAATTACGGTTTTTGGTGTTTACTCTATTAAATTTGAAAAAAAGTAGGACTTGGGTGTCATTTTCAGGAAACTTTCTCATGTATAAAGTCAATGGCAGGTTTTGTGATTGATAAGATTCTTAAAGTTTGCCTTATACTTGATCATTTCCTGCAATAAATTACATCATTAATAGATTTAAGCATTCCCTACATATTTCTCAACATATGTCGGCATCAAATTTTTACCGTTTTTGAGATATTTGACGTAAAAAAAACAGTAAAAATAAGTTATTTTTCAACTTGCTTCAATTTGACCAAATTTTTTTCGAAAATCATCTACAAGTTGCCAGGAGTTCAAAACTGACATTAGTTTTAGAATTTGACCTTTACTTGACCTTCAGTGACCTTCGAAAGGTCAAAAAAGTTGATTTTTCAAATTGATTTTTGGATGTAAATTTTGGTCAGCTTAATCACAAAAGACCTTACTGAACTCTGAATAAGTAAAATTTTCAAGGTCAAAGGTCATCAAACTAGGTCACGCAACTATGCTATCTAAGTTTCTCAAAGTTCAAGACTACAAATCCAAATCAATATTTTTGTTTGAAAGTCAGGATATAAATTCCTCTGAAGGTTCCATACTGTGTGAGCACAGGACTGTGGGTCCTTCATTTATGAAGTAGATATACTCCTCTGAAACACAAAGGCTACTAGTACTGGTAGTACAGGCTGTTTTGAAGTTGATTTTTCAAATTGATTTTTGGATGTAAATTTTAGTCAGCTTAATCACAAAAGACCTTACTGAGCTCTGAATAAGTAAAATTTTCAAGGTCAAAGGTCATCAAACTAGGTCACGCAACTATGCTATCTAAGTTTCTCAAAGTTCGAGACTACAAATCCAAATCAATATTTTTGTTTGAAAGTCAGGATATAAATTCCTCTGAAGGTTCCATACTGTGTGAGCACAGGACCGTGGGTCCTTCATTTATGAAGTAGATATACTCCTCTGAAACACAAAGGCTACTAGTACTGGTAGTACAGGCTGTTTTGAAGTTGATTTTTCAAATTGATTTTTGGATGTAAATTTTAGTCAGCTTAATCACAAAAGACCTTACTGAGCTCTGAATAAGTAAAATTTTCAAGGTCAAAGGTCATCAAACTAGGTCACGCAACTATGCTATCTAAGTTTCTCAAAGTTCGAGACTACAAATCCAAATCAATATTTTTGTTTGAAAGTCAGGATATAAATTCCTCTGAAGGTTCCATACTGTGTGAGCACAGGACCGTGGGTCCTTCATTTATGAAGTAGATATACTCCTCTGAAACACAAAGGCTACTAGTACTGGTAGTACAGGCTGTTTTGAAGTTTCATGATGATATCATTTGATGATCCCAAAAATATCTGGCAAGGTCTTCCATGAAAAGTCAAGACTTATGATATAAATCTGATATAAATGCTATAAAGACATAAAATTCTGTGACTATAATCTTGATCTGTCAAATGTGATTTTAAGACTTGATCAATTGACCATTTTCTATATAAATGGAAACATAGGTGGCAGCAAAGGTAGTTGGCAGGGCCAGAATACATGGAAACACAATAGCAAGAGTCACTTAATTTCTTGATTTGATTAATAATTCCATTTGGATCACCACTGTAAAACATCATTGGAATGTAACTTTATAGACTTATTGACATGCTGTGATTGTAACATTAAAACTGTGATCCTTATAAGAGTAAATGATCTTTTGAAGGTTTTTCAACATTTGCTGGAATTACACCAGAAAAATGCTAAAAGCGCTTTATTGGAAAGTGCTTTAAAAAATCGCCATCCTGATTACACCAACAATTCTAAAGCACCTTGGGAATTTTATTTTTGAATTATACCTGTCATTTCTAAGATGCCTTTCGTGCACTTTTAACGATGTAGATATTGAGAAAATCTAGCAGATGTATACATCTACAATTCATGTATCCTTTTAGCATCTAAGAGAAAACATAACCAAGACTTTTGCCAGTGATGTGAACTTTTCAATTTTTGCTATATGATTTGATGACCTAATTGCATTTTTTGGTTCCCATCCATCATTTCCTGTATTTTTGCGGTGGCCCAAATATGTAGCATTCGAATACGTCTTATTGCGTTACGGGCAAATGGTAAAAATCCGGGTAAGACATGTTACAAAAACCGATCGGTATTACACAACACTCCAAAAGCGCCTAATGATTTAAAGCGTTTTCTAGTGACTACGGTCTAGGAGTTTTGGAAAAGCGCTTTTGTAAAACCGCAATTGTGATTACACCTTTTTTACCTTTTTTCAAACCGGGTTAAAACTTGGCGCCTTTCCAAATCCCATGGTGTAATTCCAACAATTGTGTCAATGAGGATTTAGCCTGACTTTTTTCAGAAATCATGAAAATCTTTTATAAAGGTAAAAAAACTGCAAGTCAAAGTTGTTTTGATAGAAAATTACAAACGGAATTCAAATATGTCATTAAATAGAAGAAAATGTAGGTCTTTAATGGTTGAAAATGCAGATCTCCTAACATCTAATTAAAACGAGATTTCAAAGCTATATGGAAAAACCTCTATTGCATTACCTATCAAATGTTTAAACCCTAACTATTGAAAAATTGTGTCAATGAGGATTTAGCCTGACTTTTTTCAGAAATCATGAAAATCTTTTATAAAGGTAAAAAAACTGCAAGTCAAAGTTGTTTTGATAGAAAATTACAAACGGAATTCAAATATGTCATTAAATAGAAGAAAATGTAGGTCTTTAATGGTTGAAAATGCAGATCTCCTAACATCTAATTAAAACGAGATTTCAAAGCTATATGGAAAAACCTCTATTGCATTACCTATCAAATGTTTAAACCCTAACTATTGAAAATGGTTAATGTTTCTGGAAGTAAGTAGTACATG